TATAGATAAATATAAATAAATAAATAAAAAAGGCCACGACAAACAAAGAAAATCAAAATATAGAAATTGAATATCATGATATGCTTTGTTTATTTAGAATTTAACACGATATTTGGTAGCTAAATTTTCAGGTACTAGTCTAGTACCGTGCGATGCACGAGCTAGTAATATTGAGGGAAATATTTGAATTAGACAATGAGATCATTGTTCAAAATATAAAATACAATTATAATAAAATAAAATGTTATTTATATTATTAACACCTCATTGTACACAACTTTACTTATTTTGTTTTTTGGTAGGCACAAGTTAAAATCTCCAAACCTTTACGATTCGTAACGCGTGTAACAAGTATATATAGCTTACCGTGATTGGACAACTAATCGGTTCCCGTTGCACAACCCCTTAGATATACCCATGTTCCTCAATAGCATGACCGGAGTTCCTATCCTCAAATGCAACTCATTATTCGACGCTTTCGAATATTTGATAAAATTCAAAAACTCAGACGTGTGTAAATCAGATATAAAGAAGTTATGACAATCTAATGATGGTGAAATGATGATTTAATCTATCTATATATTTATAAAAAGCCATTCTGTTTACTAAAATTAGCAACAAGAAAAGTCAACGAACAATTAATACATTCTATTTTCAGTATTTTTTAATTTTATTTTAATATCTTGCCTAAAAAATCAGACAACCATTAAATGCACCTGAAATTCTATCAGTTTTTATTTTTTTTAATTAATCACTAGCAAAGTTATTTAATTATTATAAAAAATTAAATAATAAAATAACACGTGTGTATATTTTGTAAAACATTTTTCCATAATATTTTATTTTGTTTTATTTAAGTAATTCAATTTTACTACATTAATATATAATATTAACATAAATTAAATATTTTCATTATATAAAATCAAAAGAAGAAGAAGACTACTTCTATAACTTAAAAAAAACTATAATGACATTATATGACAACAAATATTATGATAAAATAATTAATCAAGGATTATATGGTGTACAAGAATATGTAAAATTATTACTTTTCTTATATCAAAGAATAAATATATATATACTAAAACCAAATTTATTAGTATTAATATTTTATGATAATATATTAGTTAATTTACAGACTAGGGCTAATGGGCTCACATTTAACGTTATGACTAAAAAAACAATGCTGGTTAAAAGGGATCAAAAATAGATGATCCAATTCTAATATTTTTCAGGCCTAAACGCACAGACTCTATGAAAATGTCATTTAACATCCCCACCCATGCATCGCACGAGCTATGTCCTAGTGATGTTTAAAAGTCGTTCAAGGACTCAAACGTGTGTATATAGTGTTCCTCAACAACATTTAAGGACGTTTAAATGATGACTTTTCCATATTAATTATTAACATACATTCCAGTGTTACTTTTTTTTTTTTTT